TCCTTCCTTCCAGAAGTGGTATATGAGGCATATGGTTAGCATCCTACTAAGTCCTTAAGGTTTACGTGGCCTCATACCCGTTGTCAAGTTAGACATATCTACCTGTGTCATATCTCCATTTGTCACGTGAACAGCCCCTTTTCCAAACTGATCTGTGACGTCATGTGGACCAAGAGGACGAATACGAACAAAGACTTTGATACGACTGGAATCTGAGTCCGGGGATTTGGAGCGCTCTGGAAATGAAATAAACATCCACGATTACACTAATGCRCATGTTCGGAAGATTGGTGTCAAGCATAATCTGATCCTAAAGAGCCTGCATTCTTTATGGTCAGCATCGAGGAATGACAAACTGCGAGCAAAGRTAGTTGGGCCTATAAGGGCACTTTTCTATTCGAAAAGCAGACGTGTGGAATGAGTATATTTGATAGCGAACAAAAACAATGCTTCTAATAGAATCTTAAGAGCAAGATACAGACAGAAGCTATGATAAAAAATTGAAAACGCGCGCGCGTGCTGCGTCTAGTTATAAAGCACGCAAGGRTTGGCAGAACACGAGAGAAGCACGACGTGTAAACCCCTAGTGCTTTATAACTACACACAGCAGAGCGAACAAGTTTTTTAATTTCTTTTATAGAATGCAAATTAGAATAACTGTTTATTTGGATACGGAATGACAAAATAGAAAGTGCACACGCATGCTGGAAAACGTACATTTGCTTATAGTTCAGCTTCCCTATTCAACTGTCTTGATTCTGATTTGAAACATCTACTCTGTCATCCTAATCCCTCTTACTCTCTTTCATCTAATCTGTCCAATTTCAAGTCTAAAATCCTTCATTTATTTCTTCAGTTGTCTTCAAGTGTCTCGCACTTAGAAGAATTATTCTGTTTTGAGTGTCGCTATAAAATTCGTTGTTCCTGCAGCACTTTATAAATTTTGTCAATTTTTCTTTTCCATTTGATTACAATTGTAATTTATTCAAATTTCCAGTAATATGATGTAATGTTTGCACTTTTAATTTCTCATATTTTTGAATTGTTTCAGTAGTGTGAGGGCCACGTGTTAGATAACTCTCTCTGGGTTAATTGTGTCACCCTCCTTAAATAAAGTTTATTGTATTGTATTGTATGCTGTGTGCTCTCATAAACCACGCGCTCCCAACCAATCCGAACGCGAGATTCATAACAGTTATTTTATAATAAAGTTCAGTGTAGTTCCTTCAGTTAAGCAGTTGACTTTCTCGAATGGAAAGCAAATTTAAAGCTCTACTATTAGCTCTCTTATCTATACATTACGTTTAGGGCTAGTGAAAACTCTAGTTTAAGAAAACTCTTATTGAGATAAATCAAGKGAGAAAATGAACATATTCTCTTGGATAAATCTGATTCGTAAGATAAGTCAAATGGAAGAAACATTGATCTCTCGGGGATTTTTTTTAACAGCACGATAAACAGATATAAGCCAAACTTGACCGATAAATAAACRACTGAGCGACTGAGAGTCTGCGTCTAAAGAAACTAATTGCACATTAGAAAGGATTAGAGTTTTAGATTTACGTTCACGGCAAACGTGAAACGTTAGTTGACCAGTAAAAAATTCTTTTAAGTTACTGAAAGTCCAAGTAGTAGAAAAACAAAAGAGTATTTGCGCTTGGTGAGAAGGTTTGTAAAAGGTAAAGTAAAATACAGAAAAACGATGAAAACGTGGTCACGTTTGTCGTTTGCGGGGAGAAAAAAAAAGTCAATCTAAAACTCTCTATTACTGGAATAAAACGTGCAGTAAGTTAGATGGAAAGAAGTCTTTTGATATATCTCCAATATTAATGGCCTTGTGTTGTCGATCAGACACTGTGATAATCTGAGCACTCCTTAGCTACTCCTTCGAGAAAAAATATTTCTTAAAGACAGCATTGTAAAGGAAGAACTAAATATAAAATTTTATACCTTTTTCTTTATTTTTCAGGCCTTGATTTCCATCAGCGTTGAAAGAAATCTTACTCATTTTGAACTCGGAAAAAAGAGACTGAAGACTTCAGCATGGAAAACCGCGTTCATCCATTGATCAATATGATTATAAAAAGATGAACACAAGCTCACCAGACTATACGATAGACACTGGACATTTTCACGTGATTTTTAACGAAAAAAAAGATTTTGGTGGTTTTTGATGTTTTCAGTTTCGTGACTGCAGTTGTATAGTACTATCTGTCAGACCACCACAGGGTTACCATAAATAGAATATTTAAAATTTGCTCGATCTTCTATAAAATAAATCGATAAATAATCTATAACATTTTATTGGTTGTCTTTCAATTAATTTATAAGAATTTAGAAGACCACAGAAATTCATTCCAATGCAATTTAAAATGACATATCTTACTCGTTTGCCTCTTGACTGGATGGTGGTTGGAAGGCTTAACTAAAATTGAGGTTTCAGTAAAAGCAAAACAAGTTAATGGATTGAGCGAAGAAGTGGTTATTATTTAATTATTAATTATTATTATCGCCCACAAAAAAGATAACTCCAGTTTAATGGACTTTTAAACTTGACCCTCAGGAAGAAAACGTTGAATAAATCACGACAATGTTTGCATCATTTACTACAACTACCAGAATCCCTTGCACACTTTCTTTTGTTCAGTTTATTAGCACCAATAGAATAAGAAAAGAATTGTCGAGGCATTTTGGTGATAGTAGTAAAAATGACGTCATCATGCGAACGGCAAATGAAATGAAATAAAATTCAGTAATAATGATATAAAATAATTAAATATTTTAGGATACATTTTACTTTTCCGAAAATATCTGCCTCTTATTACCTTATTTTGTTAGTTCTTTAAAAACCTAATTTATTACTGGGTTGCGTTCACCAGTATTTTTAATCGAACAATCAATTAATTATATAGTCTTCTTTCACTTATTYAATAATTTGCCTCAATGCTTTTGCATTCTTTACTCATGTGTATCCATTGCTCTTGTTTTAAAAAAAAGTCTTTTCTAGAAAGTTTGCTCGACAGCTCTAGATGAAAAAACTGCCAATTTTTTTCCTACGAATTTATTCCGAAGCACAAACAAAGCCATATGGTATAATGGAAATAAAAGAATAAATAAAATACAACCATGTTAATCTTGCTAACCACAAGAGCCTCGTTCGAAAAAATACAAGGTTCAATCAATGTTGAACTCACAACTTTAGTTACTGTAATTTTTACAAACTTCTAAATTATGTCATAGCCACGTCAGTTTATTCGCGTGCTGTGACACGTGGTTGGCAGAGGTGGATTTGGTTCTAGCAAAAATGGTAGCTTCGTAACCGTGTAGTATTTTGCTTTTTAGGGGGAAAAATAATTCCATTAAAACCAAAATTATATCTGACTTTAGTCAACTCTTCCATCTATTTTTGTCCTTCAGAAGGCAAACTTCTTGCTACGAAGATATAGAAATAAAGACAAGATACCATATGTTAATCAGATTTTCACGCAGAGCTGATGTAGGTTATCGGCGACGTTAGAAGAAAATTCTTTAGCTGCTTGCACAGATACCCCAACCATTCCCTAAACATGGGAGCAAATACTGCGAATACTTTGAGATAACAGAACGTGCTAGAATCCAAAAACACATTCACGGACGATTTATGATAACGCTTTAAAACAAAACAGAAACAGCGGGATAAGGTGAAGTAGAAAACCATGATTACATTATAATCCTTATTCGATGTTGACAAATACCGTATCCGTTTTGACAGAAGCCAAATATAACGTAACAAACACAAAAACTGTTGCCCAATCCACTAGATTTTGGACGAGATTTACCTCACTTAAAGTAGAAAAATATTTTTTAGTAAATAGTAGAAGTCCCCGGCTTGAATATGTAGAATTTGGAGGCAAAGTATGAGAGAAACGTGCCTGAARCGGTTTGGAAACTCTGACAATCAACGCCGGTCATTCTAATTACATCAGCGACAGAATTGAGAATGCTAGGTTTAAAGATTGCGGTTAACGGTTTTGAGCAAACACATTTTATATTGATGATACAAGGCAAAAGGCTTTGGATTTGTAGTAGAAGAGTTTTTATAACTATACTCGTAACAGGAGCCAGGAATATTTGAAAAAATAAGAACAGTTACCTTTGCGCTTTTTGTTACTTCTTCTCTTCATTGTCTCCAAGCCATGAAAAAATTATCCTACAAAACCGGCTGCCATCTTAAACTTTCCCAACAAGGATATCGAAGATTAAAATGATCATTCGAATGGAGCAAGTCGTAGCGTTGTGTTATCATTCAACGAAGAAACAGCGGGGGCTTATTCCAACAATATTTTGTAAAATTTAAAATCTATATATATCTTGTTTCTGTCATTGGCTCACATTCGCGAATGTCAAGAATGGATTGACCTCTACGTTGCGTGTTATGAATCCCAGATTGTTATCAAACTCTAAGAATTATTATATACACGATAAATTATTAATTGTAAATGCTGAAATTGAAAAGGAGAGGTAATTATATTAATGAACGGATTAATAGTTGTTTTGTGCGAAATGTTATTTCCGGTGAAGGGTTAATTTTGGTTTCAGATCAGTGAGGATCAAAAGTATGTATTAAATGCTGGAAAAACAAAATATAAATGGCTTATTTTAGCTTTTTAAGATAAAAGTCACTGTGACAAACAAATTCTAGAAAAGGAGAGAAGGAAGGTAGGAAGAAAGGAAAGGAAAGGMAAGAAGAGGAGAAGCGGAATTGTTTGCAAAGCAATGTGTGTATAGAGGAGAAGTGAGGAGAGGAGAGTAGTATTTTCAGTGCAAAGGAATGTATGCAAGAGAGAACGAATTTGCCTACAAACTTTTTTTGGTATTATAGATAATGCAATAATAAGACGTTACAGCTTTATTAATACGGATTTGGCAAATTTAATCTAAGCTCTGATTTTGTTGTTGTTGCCAACAAAAATGGCAATTATTGAATGTGTTACACCCTACCTCGTCGTTTGTATTTTTAAACTGTTTAAAATAATTCTTCTTTAACGTTTTATTTTAAAGAGAAAAAAAAGTACATTTCTATGTCACTTTGCTGGCTTTTCTTGGGTATAAAAAAGAATTTATAGTAAGGTCGTAGCAGAGTTCACAGTTTTACACGTGTTTTATAGAAAATCATTAGGGATTAACTGAAGGGTGAGTAATTGAACTGACGGGAATATTAGGAACTAAGACACAAGCTGTGAGTATAAATGATGAGTTACGGGCAAACACCACACACTAAGAGCTTGGTTGCTCGTTTGACTCATCAATCTCACCAATCACCGTTGCAGCAGTTTTTCCAGTGGAATTAAAATCTTGTCTCACAAACAACTACACAGTATTTGTTTTAAAGAGTACTACAAGGATGACGAGACAATGTTCTATTCTTTTCGCAGGACAGTGAACAATTGAAACAATCTATAATCAATTTTCAGCGATCAGAGTTTTAAATTCTGAGATATGCTGGCTAATTTGTTGAGGTTGTGGGACATAGCAACGGTAACTAAGGGCAGTCGGAACTATGAATACACAAAAGTCTTGTACAATTACAAGATTTTTGAAACATCACTCGTACCTTAACAGCAAATTGTACGAGAAGGTCGTGGGATTTCCTATACAAATACAAGAATACAAACTGACAAATACGGAAGCCCATAGGGGACATTGCTGCAAATGGAATGAGAAAARATACCGAGAATCAAAACCAAGTGGARCTAAARCCCTTGCCAGTAAATTCTGAATCTCAATCAATCTGAATCCAACGCTGCCAATCCGACGCTAGCTTCATTTTGGTTCCAAGGAGGCATCTTAAATCAGGAACATACATTAATTTTTTTCCAATCTAGATTGCTTACTTAACTGTTAATTCTGAATACAAGCGAAAAGGAATAATCTTTCTTTCTAAAAAGATATTGCCAAATTGATAATGATATGCATTAGAAAAAAAGAAAAACAAAAACAAAAACAAAAAAAAAAACAAAAAANAAACAAAAAAAAAACAAACAGTATGGATACGATGGGGTTCGAACCCACCTACAGAAATAAAGTTAAATTTTTTTGTCAGAGTGTTAGTGTTCCAAGGAGGCATTTTAAAGGGACACTTGGATGAAAACACCCCGATTTTTGAAAGTCCGAATAATTAAATTATTTGAGGATAATATGACTCAATTATAATTATGGAAATATGATTAGTGAAAATCTTAGCCTGGGAGCCACTTGCTATCCAGATATTTTAGGTTCAAAGTGAAAAGAACAATAGGGTTGAGTAAATGACGTCATTTACTTACAATTTAGATGCTCAATAAAATTGATGTTTTTTTTGCGCCACTTTTGACTGTTAAGGAAACATGTTGCTCGGCCACTATCTGCGCCATATAGATAAGTTTAAACAAGTTTCAAGTCATTTTCAATTTTCATTGATTTTCATCCAAGTACCCCTTTAAATCAGGAAGATAAATTWATTTTTTTCGATCGAGATTGCCTACTTAACTGTAAATTCTTAACATAAGTAAAAACAGTAATAGGCTAAAAAGATATTGCCAAATTGATAATGATATGCACTAAAAAAATAAAATAATTTATCTGGATACAATAGGGTTCGAACCTACAGACAAAAATTAAGAAAAAAATCGATCCCACTTTGCCATACCCCCGAGACATCCGCAGAGCTGAGGCGTCGTATGGACTTCGGACCTGACGGCGATTAAATCCTTCTGCCCTTGGGTGTACGAATTACGCAAGAAAATGTTCCAGCCGAAGCATCAGGGGAGAGACCAGCCGGCCCCCAGACCATATCGGCTAATCCCTTGCATCTCTGCCACGCACGGAATCGGTTGAAAAAATACTGTTAAAAAATCTAGTCTATTGGGTGCATTGTTTTCACRGCTATTGTTATGCTGATTCACCTGAAACCGTGGTCCAGTGGAGAAAACTTGGGCTTCAATGATAYTGAGTCAAGCACGGTTGAGGCGAGATAGTAAATGGATGGGTGACCTGAAAYTTATGCACTAAAAAAAATTTGCAAGTATTTTCCCCGTAACTTTTAATCGACTAAATAAAAATCCGTTCTAATATACGTTGAGAAATCGATCGTCGAAAATTAAAAACTGCCTGGCATTTAACCCTTGACCGGCAGTCTGTAATCATGAGCAATTTTTCAAGAATATCTTGAAGAGAATTGTTTGTATCTTGTGCCGAGGAAAGGCATACAAGAAGATGTTGAGTGAGAAAATAAATG